CGGTTATATTGCTGTAGTGAGTATATACAAAATGTAAGAAAGAGACAGTTAGTTTGAATTGATAGGAGCTAAGCTTCAAAGCCATTCTACATCAAGAATAGCTTTTGTGGACTTGATACTAGCCTGAAGAGTGTGATCCAGTTCTGATGATACCTTTAAAAGGGTGTGAAAAATAAAAGCTGAGCCCACTACAATAGGAGCCACAAGAGAGTGTAACTTGGAATAACTCAACCTTAATTTCGTGTAATCGAAATCCAGTTTCACCTCATTTTGCAATGTCAATAAAGTATCAATAAGGTTTGGATTTCCTTCAACATCCATGATTCGAGACCAATCGAGGGTGTTGATGAGAAGCTGAGGCAAAAATGTCGCTTAGCCTGGATAGAGGACGAGCTTCAGGGCGAAATTATCTCTTCACTTTTTCTTGTATCTGGAGTAAGAGCTATAGTTTGAGCTTATGCAGGATGTAAAGAAAAACTGGGTTTCGAATAATTCCTTGGCGATACATTGTGACAGAACTCTACATTTTGAAGGAAAAGTTGGTTGGTGAGCCGAGAACCTCTTCGCACAATACAATGATCTTCACCACACGGCAATCCTTCTTCGGTCTCCGGTAAGACCACATCACGAATTCCTGCCCCAATACTTGAACTGTATCCATCTGAAGTAGGTTTCGAAAATATTCGTTAATATTGACTAAAAGTTGAGATTAAGAACAAGATATTTGAAGATCCTACAATGTAATTCGTAAATTGCCTCAAGTTTCCACCTAATTCCGCTCGGTCTTGCCGCCCACAAGGTTTTCTCATCCAGTAGACACTACAGTTACCATGCCATTTGCCTTATCGTCACCGCCACCCCCTCTATGAATGCGATTTGGGAGAGTGATGGTATGCCTTGAAAGTCTCAATGCCCTCTGACTCAAAAATGGCACCCGAGGCTGCGTGGCGAAATGATAAATGGCCGCCATTTCCTTAAACAATCTATGACAACTAGAGATTTTATCCGACCACATGGAGTGTTCGAGCCAAACAATTGAGCTAAAAGAAAGATTGAAACTGCCTAGTTTATCGAGTCTGCTTCCGAGGTGAATAAGCCAATGTATCAGGCCGAATCACAGCAGAGGTTCCATTGCACCATAAGCTCACCCGAAAAGACAAATTAGAAAAAATCCGAAGAAACCTTACCATAATCGAATCAATCGAAGAGAATTCAGTATATTATCGGAATGATTCATCATCCATTCGTTCACTAAAAGTGAGGCAATAAGAAGTGGGTTGACCTCGTTGTCGCAACTTGGTCTTGTTGTCAGGGCGACTATGTAGAACGCAGCTAGTCCGAGTAGTTGTCATGATTCCCAGCATCAGACAGTGGACTTGGTACATTCTCGGAGTCGGCATCATCAGTGAGCTTTGCCATTCTCCGCACCAAGCTATGAACTCGTCAAAGAGACAAGTCCTTGGTCTTCATATCCGACCAATCTGAATTAGCGACAATAAGGTTGTTAACAAATCCCAGATTTGGGTCCCCAAGTGCAGGTGTGCGAGCAATGTATGATAATCATGAAGCGTGCCCATCAAAAGCTCGTATCTCCTCCCAGTAGAACTGGTGCACCATGTGAAAGCACGAAGGCCTCAAAGTACCTATCGACACCTGGTTCCTTGTATGCAGAGTCGTCCTTGACGTAGACATGGCAACCAGAGGTGGAAGAGACGTAGACACGCGACAGCTGGACCGGTTAAAGCATCATCTGACGCCAGTCATAACTGATAACCCAACAATGAAACAAAGCCAGCAAAAATTCTGGAGGCTTGTTGATAATGGAGACTGTTATCACAGAGAGCGAGATGGTGGGATTGTAGATAGAAGACGGGGGGCAAAAGAAACTGTGTCGATTCACCCCCAAGCTCATCTATTGTCCACCCAGTGCAAACGCTTCGGCCGGCAACTATTGCAGAGGCTCAACTCGAGGGAGGGACCCAATGATATGGGATCAATTATTATGCCAATACTCACTCTCTCGTTGCATATATCCACACACACACACACACACACATACACACAAATATATATATATATATATACGCCTATGGGTGTACATGTTATTGCACTTTGTGCAATCAGGACGGGATTTGTGTAACTGGACATGAGCAGGTGTGACGTTTGGTATGTCCGGTCGGGGGTATAAGCAAAAAATGGTGAATTAAACTGTCTTCTCTGGTGGACACTACCTCCACTTTGTTATCTTTCGAGCTTGGCTGTATTTCTGCTGTACGTCCAGCCGTAGAGGCGAGTTGGTGTGCCCTTGTGGTGAAACAGGTCTCAATGGCGTGTGTGACAAAGAGAATTAATCCGGTAGACAGTTGGATAGGTCGAAGAAGAGGCAGGCAGGGTTCACGCAAACTCGAGCTCAACCTGGAAAAGACCAGACCAAAGGTTGGCCAGATGGACTAGTCGAGCATTTAGGGCTTTTCTATCCAGTGAAGACGAGCTAGAGTCAATGTACCCAGCATGGCAACGGTTGGGTTGGCTAACCTGTCTACCCCCAGAACACCTCCGCAGACCAGACAGTTGCCGAGACAGGTAAGGAGTGTCCCTCGGCGAGCAGCTACGCCAATGAGCAGCGAAGAGGATGACGAACTCAGAGGCGAAAGTCTTCAATCTGTACACTTCGAAACAGTCCAACGTCCAAGTGTGCCAGTCAGATTTACATACAGGCTCTTATTGTTACGGTTAATGCGATGCTTTCTATAGAGGTAGCCAGCCTCAAACCCCTCAATGCCAAGAGTGCCATGGTCAGATCTCCTGGCCCACAAATGCATCTTTTTCAGGATTATATAGTTTCATATGAAAGTGCATAATGAACCAATTCGTTGGTTGATTTTACCAAAAGACGACGGCCAATTCACGTTGTTCTACACAGTTCACGAGAAATCCTCCCGCATTTCGAGTTGATGGAGCTGACCTTTCGTTCGTCATGTCACTGACATCATCAGAGCTGGATCTCATTCTTGTAAAAGTCTCAATTTATAATTAAGTCAAGATGG